TTTTTTTTTTTTTTTGAAAAAAAGCTATCGTTAGCAAATTTGTTGATTTATGCAAGTACTTAGTACTTATTAGTTTTTCTGTTACTTATAAAAATTGTTAATTTATTGAGAAAAAGTAATTCGCTTTCTTAAAAAAAACCATCCTTATAGTTATCGAAAAAAATAGTATCATTGATTTTTTCTGTTCAAAATTCGATGATGTTTTATTAATAATTTCACCTGTTGCTTCATCTTCTTTAGCTCAAAATTCTGAAATTTCATTTCTTAATTTCAAAGAAATATAGAAAGCAAGCAAAAAAAAAAAGAACAAAACTAAATAAGATAAAACCAAAAGAACAATATCTTCATTATTTTTTTAAAACTTTAATTGATTTCCTTGAAAATTTAATTGATTTCCTTGAAAATTTAATTGATTTCCTTGAAAAAGTTTTTCGCTCGAAAAAAAATTTGTTTTTTTGTATGAATCGGCGGAAGTTTTATGGTTTAATGATCAATAATTTATGTTTTTATTTTTTTTTTTTTGAGTATAAAAATAAACAAATTTATGAGAAGGCATGTAATTCAAAGCACATTATGCACGCCTAATAATTATAGTTTGCATGATAACTTATGATAGTAATATATAATCTTAAGCAAGCTAAAACATAAATATTTATTCATCACTTAGAAGAATAATTCACTTCAAATTTCATTTTTGAAAATGTCGAAATAATTCCTAAAATATTCATTCCTATCGTCAAGACTGTTTCCCACTCAAAACTTTAGTGTTATCAGTAAAAAGTCAATGATAGTTTCATCTGAATGAAATTTTCTTTTTTTTTTTTATTAAAAATCAGAGCAAATCTTAAATGTTCCTGTTGATCAATGATCAGCAAGTAACATTTGCTGATTTTTCCAAATCAATTAGATTGGCATTATTTTTTACAAATCTTCTTTTTGTTTTTGCTATTTCAAATGCTATTTGTGTTTTCAAAGCTGCACAAGTCTTTTTTTGTCAATGCGATTCTCGTGAATGAAAAATGAAGCATATTAAGCAATTTAAGAAATAAAAAGAATGAATACACTTCGTTTCAATTTTTCAAACTGATAAATAGCAATTGACGAAGTAAAATAACTGCTTAATCATTAAATAAATTTTTCAGTTACTCATAATTGAAATTTCTTTTCTAATTCATTGCAGTCTTCACGTATATGCGTAACGTATGTGTGAAGATATATATTATACGTGTATATCGATATAATTCGCTGCAGACTGAAATGATGTTTTTTTTTTTTCTATTCAATAAACGCTCCATTTAAATGGATGTTCTTCTATACAAGCACTTTTATTCTTTATAAATTTTTGCATACAAAACCATATTCCAAGAATAATGACAAATTCCAAGATTAATTTTAAAAAATATGAACAAAAAAAAAAAATTAGAATCGTAGGAAAGTGATTGTAAGCTTATATCATATTTACCAGAATTTTGGTTAATTTAGTTTACGTGATTTATAAAAGTTATTTCTATTTATTTATTAATATATTAGTCATTTTCAGTAACTTCGTTAAAATGCTTAATATACTGATGAAAAAATTACATCATCATAATGTAACTGAACTAACCGTCCGGAAAGCCGAAAATACGATAAATTATATAGGAAAGCCAAAATATGATAAATTATAATATATAAAATTATATGATCGTTGGTTAACTATTTTGTATGCCTGGATGATTAACCATAAGCCTTACC